GACATTTAACACATACAGATCAAAGAGTAGAGGGTAACTGTGTTTTTTTTTTCAATCTAAGAAGAACCTGCAACATTTGTGGGTTGAATGTCCTAGTTTCCCTCTTTAAATTGCTGGAAGAGTGGTTGGCTGGATATGGACAGGTGCCGGACAATACAATGTTCATTTATGGTCCCAAATACAGATCAGCACAGAGGAAGCAGATTTGTCTTACCAACTTTCTCATAAGTCAGGCAAAAATGGGAATCTGGCTAACCAGGAGAAACAAAATGAAAGGAGCATGGTCTAAAGATGTTGACCTTATCTTCAAGGTGTGGTGTCTGCACGTATCATGATAGAATTTACTCATTATAAAATGATGGCAGATTTTGATATTTTCATTTCAGTGTCTTGTGTACAGTGAACAATGATTTGTTTGTTCTTAGTTTTTGAAAATTGTACATTTTTCTGTTTTTGTGGGGTGTGTTTGTGAGTATGTGCAGTAATATGTTTCTGTTTTTCTTTATGTAACTGTTGATGAGGAACTGTTTCATCTTCTCTTCTCTTCTCTTCTCTTCTCTTCTCTTCTCTTCTCTTCTCTTCTCTTCTCTTCTCTTCTCTTCTTTTCTCTTCTCTTCTCTTCTCTTCTCTTCTCTTCTCTTCTCTTCTCTTCTCTTCTCTTCTTGGTACTATGTCTTACTGAAAATACTTCACAGTAAATCCCACAAAACTCATGTTGTTCATTATGTCTTGTTAGATAAGCTATTTGAAGTGCTTTTGCAAAGTTCAAAACAATGATCCCACGTGTCTCTTCACCCAAAATGCAAAAATAAACATTTTTTCTCAACTTTAGTGAAAATAGCTTTGGATTTACTGTATTTGGCCTGGGGTATGTAAGTCAAAATCATATATCAAAAGCTAATCTTGGTGACCTAGTTTGGTGATCCAGTTGTAAAACCCAGAAGGTGCAGCGTCTAGTGTGTACTGCAGGACTGCAGATATATTTATGTGACTGTACGATGAAATGTGTTGTGACATTATTTTACCCATAGGACCATGCCATGCTGGATATTGGTGCAGAGAGGGTGCCTCCTCTCCCAGGCCACTGGATGGACTCTCAGGTTTCCTGTGTCCACCTGGTCACTACTGCCCCTCAGGTACCTCATCTGTCTTCCCCAAACAAGCAGTTGCCCACAGTTGCTGCTGTAATGATGATGCAAGTTTCAGAGATACACATCACTTTTTTTGTAACACAGTGCTGATGCAGCTTGCTTTTTAAGCTAATGTAACCAAATTTATACTGTGTGAGGATTTTAACATTCTTCTCTTTTATAGTCTATGGCTGCCAAGTTTTAGTCACACTAATTAGCATTTAGAGTGCTAAAGGACGTTCAGAAACATGTTTTCTTGCAACTTTTGATGTAGTTCTCATTAAATTAATTTGTGTGCTTGTTCTCTTTAACTTGAGGCATTGACACATGTCTTAAAAATGCAGCTGTAAGGTAAACTTCTTGTTTAGCCTACAGCTACATCTTGCCCTAAATTCCTCAACCCTGGACCCACCAATGGGTGCATGACAGTTATTTAGTTGTAGCTGAATTTTGAGTACAGTGTCTTAAATTACATTTTTTTGCTACGTTTAATAACTGCTGTCTTTATTGTAGTGTGGCAGTCATTCTGTTTCTTGGAATCAAGATGTGTTTTTGAGCTTGTGCCATCTTTGCAGGCACCACAGGTCCTGAAGCGTGCCCTGAAGGAAGCTGGTCAAACAGCTCAGGACTGCATAGCCAGGAGGACTGCAAACCCTGTCTTGGGGGTTTTTATTGCAACTCTGCTGGCCTTACTAAACCCAGTGGGTCCTGTCGTGCAGGGTACACCAGATTGTGATGATTAAAGAAATAACCATCACATCATCATCGTCTTTGTTATATATATACATATAGCAAATAATGTAAATATCATTTTTATCCCCAGAATTTTCATGCTGTCTTTTCCTTATGCAGATACTACTGCATAGAGGGAGCTGTCACATCTACTCCCACTGATGGAAATACAGGGGGACCCTGTCCTGAGGGTTACTACTGCCCTGAGGGAACTGTTCAACCTGTGCCCTGTGAACCAGGGACATATGTGGCTGTTACACATGCTACTCAGTGTGAACCTTGTCTGCCAGGCTGGTA